GGGCATTCAGTCGGCCACCCGGGTGGATGTTGACAGTCAAGCCCATGGACATATCCACCCCAGCTTGGGATGGAGCTATCAGCCAGCACCGTAGAGAGATATTCGAGCAGCGTCAATACCGTGGCAGCACGCTTTCCACGAAGAAACAATGAAGATATCCACTGTGATCAATGCCGCTATTACGTCACATCACGAAAACACTCTTCACTAAATATGTGTAATTATGACCATATCTGACATGATAGATAGCGCACCTTAATCGCTATAGGCGCGCAACAAGACATGCGAAAAAAACGCGATAAGACAACAAAGTGTCCGAACTGGCGAACAGCACCATTCCACTCTGTCTTCGGCAAGGTAAGCTTTCGCATGATGTGGCCGCAGCAAGCCAATCAAGCTGCCCGTGGAACGAATTCGCCGCAAGCTTGGAGGCACGGCTTTGGCTGCTCTGGAGGCTGTCTAAGCAGGCCAGATTCACCGAAGACTGTATGACTCCGGTTTTAGCTGGATGCAAATGTTTCGAATGCCATTTTACTCAAGATAAGGTATTTGCGCGGGGTCAAATGTAGCAAGGTCCGCTGCCCCTGGAGCTTTTCCAGAAGAAGTCCAGACGCTCTTCACTGGTTGAAAAATGCTGAGTTACGAAGACCGATGAGTGCAGTAAAACGGGGAAAACCCTAAGAAAACCAATGCAAATATCCCTGCACAGGCCTGGACCGCATCAGGACCAAACGACCGGAAGGTGGCGTCACACTCACGTCACTAACGGCTCAGTCAAGTCTTCCCCTGCTACGTTCTAGCTGGCGCCGAGGTCTCGATGAACCTGTAAACATGGTCTTCACACACGGCAAACGGATGAACTGTAGATGTCAACTAAACAAAATAGCAAACAACTCGTCATATAACATTTATCCCAGCAGGCAAACAACACACAGCGGATAAGTCATATTCTAGATTATCCGCTATGTGATACATGCTCGCCAGGACGTGCAGACCACTCCTCATCATCTTAAGGCCGTTCCATATGCTCACGTGTAAACACGCCGCCAGCCGTGTTTTGCTTACATGATCCTGCCTGCGGCCGGAAACTAGGATATCCAATTACGGCGCGCGTCAATGAGAAAAACGGCCTGTGCCACCAGCTCACCACGGCTGTTTATTTCAAACGCCTTGTTGGCAAATGAATGCAATGTTCTGCTTGATTACAAAGCAGTGCACGGCGGCGACATTTTTACCTGGAACAGGGACGCTTCTGCCTGTCTGTTTGTCAACATCGTGCATGCATCAGCCATGCATGGACGCCAATGAATAAGAGCGACAGGACGAAGAGACAATGTCAGTGGGACGCGGCCGCCCAGTCGGCCCGGTCGCCCCACCACCAGCCAAACAGCCGCCCCCCCCCCCCCCGCTGACCTTGGCCGGCCTCCCGCACATGCAAAGCCGCGCGGCAGTATGTGGGTCAGCCTTTCGCGCTGCCGACCGCCGTGGGCCAGTCGGCCGCGGCTGGTCAGCGGGACCCGGCTCAGAGCGCGAGCGAAAGACGGGCGGGTGATGACGTCAGCGGGCCGCCGCCCGGACGGCGCCGGAGCACGGCGGGCGTCGACGCTGGTGAGGTGGCACGACAGGGTGCTGGGGAGCATGGCGTCGTGCGGAAGGCTGGACTCAGAAATTCTGGTGGAATCACGTTGCTATCGTTCCAGCGTAGCTTTTCATAACAGCAGAGTAAAGTCTGATTGAAAGAAAGGCATACCACGATTTTATTCCCAGCGGTAATGCGAGATCACTATGACCTTCCACGACATTCGCCTTAGATGGCATGGTGTTTGACTTCCAGGGTCGACAATGATATTGATAACACTGAAGTCAATCTTGTCAATTTTGTCAATTTTGTCATTTTAAAAGCCTACTCTTTCCATGTTTCGCCAAGAGACCGGGTGGGTGGGCAGGGGAAGGCAGATGAAAGCACAAAATGCAGACTATGACGCGCGCACACGCGCACACCATGCGCGGCACTCATATTTTTCTAATTTCCAAAGCATGGGAGCTTTGTCTTATCCTGTCCCTACACCCATGCGATGTGGCAGCCTTGTCGGCTAGTTTGACGTCACACTTCATCCCTGACCAGGTGCAGCATTGGTCTAGAAATGAATCGTGAGCGTTGGCGACAGACGCTACATAATTACTTCACGCATTGATCATTGCACAACTGCTTTCCTCTTCACACACCTGGCTCAATCCGACGTGGCCTATGCCCGGCTTCATCAAACGCAGATTGCTGCTGGACGTTACGCTGCGCGTGCGTGCATGTGTGTGTGTGTGTGTGTGTGTGTGTGTGTGTGTGTGTGTGTGTGTGTGTGTGTGTGTGTGTGTGTGTGTGTGTGTGTGTGTGTGTGTGTGTGTGTGTGTGTGTGTGTGTGTGTGTGTGTGTGTGTGTGTGTGTGTGTGTGTGTGTGTGTGTGTGTGTGTGTGTGTGTGTGTGTGTGTGTGTGTATCATGTACTGTAATGCTGTGCTTTTTTATCTTTTATCCCTCCCGTCTTCATTTATTCGACGCGTGTCATTTACAGTCACTATGCGTGATGGCTCTCCTCGAATATAATACACACCTTCAGTCAATCACTTCATAAGACGGTAGGGTGCATGTCTTGCAAAAGTGGAACGCGGATCGCAGACTTGTCGCATCTTTACCGTGCAGACGTTTGCGAATGAGATCAAACCATGAAGAGCTGGCACGACGGAAAGCTTAAGCACACAGATCGGATGTGAAAATGCCCCAAACCCATCTAAGCAAAGCTTCGTTATTTGTCCTACGGAACGGCTCGGATAAACGTCCCTAGGAACAGTACCTGCGAGGCAAGCTTACAGCGACGATGATATGTCTTGTGTGGTATCGGCGGTTTTGGCGGCCGTTCGCGCGTTGGCAACGCCACACGCTATTATCCGCGTCTCTCATTCGTCACGCTTACCATAACACTGTGCTCTAAGCGCTGATGGGCCGTCGATTCGGACGAAACCGACGAACACCGACCAGCACGCAGAGGGCCATAGCTGGTTCGGCACAGACTGGCCGAACGCCTGGCAGCCTCGCTGCTCTGTTAAACCGACGAACACCGACCAGCGTGCAGAGGGCCATAGCTGGTTCGGCACAGTCTGGCCGAACGCCTGGCAGCCTCGCTGCTCTGTTGCCAATGCAGGATATTGCCAAACGTTTGCAGAACGACAAATGTCTCCGATGTGGGACAGGAAACATGAACATCTACGATCTGGTCCAGCACGTCAGGGGAAATAATTGAGGACATGGGTTGCCCACCACCAAGACGCAGCGGCGCCTTGCAGGAAAATCTGCCGGTAGGGAGGAGGCAGCTGAACGGTTCTATCTGGCCTTGGGTTTTATCGCCATGGGTCAGCCATTGATATCAGCACGAGCGGAAAAGCGACTATTTCTGCCATCTATTGTGAAGAACGTTAACTACATTATCCTGTACCTTTCAGGCAGTGTCGCTACCAGTTATCCGCAACATCCCCATTAACAGGCAGAGGCAGGTATGCCAGAAAAAGGAAATAATTTGTATCCTAACAGCTCTACGGGGTACATTTGATAGCTTTTCTTATCCAATTTTCGATTTCTATTAAAATCGTTTGGGATAGATATGATTCAGCACAGCCCACTTCAGGTGCGGTGTTCATCTGCATTCCCCATGCTGCTGCTGACTTCCAGGGAAGGCCGTCTTGAAAAGCCTGCCAGATAGTTCTACACTCTGAGCCAAGACACGGCTAGCCATGTGCGAGCCATCTGGAGGTTGTACATTATCGATGTTTGCGACGGTCGGATCTTTTCCCGCGCCGTCGCACGGATCCCTGAACACGGACTCGCAGCATCCGCCGCACGCGCTCGACGAAGGCTCGCATTGGCGCCGCATCCGTCACTGGTCTGGTGTCTGTAGCACGTCACTGCTCTGGTATCTGCAGTACGTCACTGGTCGGATGTCTGCAGTACGCCACTGGTCCGATGTCTGCAGTACGCCACTGGTCCGATGTCTGCATTACGCCACTGGTCCGATGTCTGCGGTACGCCACTGGTCCGATGTCTGCAGTACGCCACTGGTCCGATGTCTGCAGTACGCCACTGGTCCGATGTCTGCAGTACGCCACTGGTCCGATGTCTGCAGTACGCCACTGGTCCGATGTCTGCAGTACGCCACTGGTCCGATGTCTGCAGTACGCCACTGGTCCGATGTCTGCAGTACGCCACTGGTCCGATGGCGATGTCTGCAGTACGCCACTGGTCCGATGTCTGCAGTACGCCACTGGTCCGATGTCTGCAGTACGCCACTGGTCCGATGTCTGCAGTACGCCACTGGTCCGATGTCTGCAGTACGCCACTGGTCCGATGTCTGCAGTACGCCACTGGTCCGATGTCTGCAGTACGCCACTGGTCCGATGTCTGCAGTACGCCACTGGTCCGATGTCTGCAGTACGCCACTGGTCCGATGTCTGCAGTACGCCACTGGTCCGATGTCTGCAGTACGCCACTGGTCCGATGTCTGCAGTACGCCACTGGTCCGATGTCTGCAGTACGTCACTGCCGCGTGGCAGGCTGAACGTCCGACGAAGTGAGAGGTCCAGCTAAGGGAATCTTCTGACAAAGACGAGCCCTTTCTTCCTTCAGGCGAATGCACTCTCCCGCCCACAAATACCATGCTGACCCAGGCGCGGTGATTTCAACTGCTCAGGTTAACCCAATTTGCGCAGGTGGATGCTCATATGGCAGCGATGTCCGCGAGTCACGTCCTGCTTTACAAATATGCAAATGTGCTCCCGCATAACGCCGAATAATTCATCATCGCGTATTTGACGAACTCAGCATCGAACGAGTGCGTCATTAAGACGCGTTTTGAGTGCTGTCAAACGTTGCAGTCCTGTGATGATGACGATTAAAGTTTTAAAACGCACCTATCGCGATGACCATTTTGCGTCCCGTTGGAGTGCTGACAGCACCGTGAAGGGTAACTGTATTTCATAGTCATCCCATGATGCACATGTCGCCGAATGACATCGCCAGAAGACAAGTTTACTGCATAGGAACCATACCGGAGTCACCTCCAGCATCCAAAGTGGGCGCCGCGCACCGAAGCACATCCAGCCGTCTGCCTTCGTTCACTACACGCAAACAGGAGATAACAGATAGCAGCCTACAAATGAGGCTGCGTCTGGCCGCCGCAGGACACCGACCCACACAGCAGACAGTGCATAGTCAGCCAGCAGTGAACCGCCGTCCAGCACAGCTCCTATCCCGGCCCCAGCCGGCGGTCACGCCGAGGGATCGCCATCAGCCAGCAGGCGCTGAGCTGGTTCACCACCACAAGCTCCGTGCTCTCCGAACGCGGCAATAACCTAGAAGCCTTCTCTTCTCTAGGTCTTCTCCTGCCGCAACTCTCTCCCTCCACAACATACGCAGCTTTGTAGCGTCAACTTACCTCCGTAGAGGAATGATCACTGACAGCGACTCATTCCAACCCACTTCCAAGAGAGCAGGGCGGCGAGTCGCTCTACCCACTTCCAAGAGAGCAGGGCTGCGACTCGCTCCAACCCACTTCCAAGAGAGCAGGGCGGCGGCTCGCTCCACCCACTTCCAAAAGAGCAGGGTAGCGACTCGCTCCACCCACTTCCAAGAGAGCGGCGCAACAACTCGCTCCAACCCACTTCCAAGAGAGCAGCGCAACGACTCGCTCCAACCCACTTCCAAGAGAGCAGGGTAGCGACTCGCTCCACCCACTTCCAGGAGAGCAGGGCGGCGACTCGCCCCACCCACTTCCAAGAGAGCAGGGCAGCGACTCGCTCCAACCCACTTCCAAGAGAGCACGGCACGGTCAGCACGCTTCACTCGCTACGAACAACACATCCACACACGGCACGCCGCTCAAACCACAAACACCGTCGAACACAACACACAACTGCACGACATCGAGCTACCAGACCGGAATGCCTTCCCTCAGTACAGTCCCTCCAAATTGACACAGGACGTGGCACCACTCGTCTGTCCTAGACGACCTACGGCCAGGCGGTTGCGAGTCTGCAAACTGCAGCCCGGGGTCGCCGGCTCGGTGGAGAGCCGCCTACCACCTCGGGTCGCCAGAAGAGCCAGCCACCAGTTCGGGTCGCCGGCTGTGCGGCGCGAACGGCTCGGCGCTGGCTGCCGGTGTGAACCCCGCGCGCCGTAGCCGCAGTGCGGCAGCCACACAACTGCGCGCCCTTGGTGTCCCCGCGAATAATGCTACCCGGCAACTGGGACGCACGGGCTTTCCCATGATGCAAACGTGCTGCGGACCTCTGCGGCTGGGTGCGGCACGGCAGGGAGGGGGAGGGGCCACCGGGGCAGGAGAAACTGACTTTCCACCCCCGAAACAGCCCAACACACCCAGGAGGGGGAGGGGGTTGTGAGCACGCGAAGGAAGCACAAACGGTTCCCGTCCACCATTCACGAGCAGCCCTACGGTTGAGATGGGAAGGGACGGTGGTTTCGTGGGTAAAGTCAAGAACACCGAGGGATCGCCGCGATTCTCTCACAATATACTTCACTGGCTCACGGCCACGCCCACCCACGAGCTGTGAGGATCACGGCCATGCCCACCCACGAGCTGTGAGGATCGTATAACTTCCAGCTAAGCAGGAGCTACACGACTGGCGAGAAGAACGACCACTATGAAAAAATCACAAGCCAACCAAGGAATGCATATGACAATTCAAAGCAGACCAATTATGAAACAGGCACGGTTAAATCCAGGACCAAACTTAACACCAAACATGGCTAAAGCACATGATCAAAGACTAAACATTACAATAATGCTCCAAGTGCAGGTCAGGAAGAGAAGGAAACTCGCTAACCCGGCACGGCACCACCTACGTGTCCCCAGCACATGTGGTTGGGAAGATTCCGCGACATGGGGGTACAAAGGACAGGTCTTTGGCACAAAACCGCACAATCGTGCGTTTGGCACGTGAGTAAACATTGGCACATGCATGGACCGTGGCTGACGCCACAGTCGGCATCGTAAAGCGACTGCCACGCCATCTCCAGGGGAGAGCAGCCGGCGGCGGACCCTACTACAAGACACAGCATGCGGCACGCGGGGGCTCCATGTGGCCGCCAGCCCCAGCCCCAGCAGCAGGCAACATGGGAGATCTTGCTTATGAGAAACAGCAGCAAAGATGGGAAACCCACAGAAAACGCGCTTGCCAGTCTCGGCCGGGCGCGCACGCGCGCCGTGAGATTGCGCACAGGACCGGGGCCAGAACATTGGCCAGAGCTTCAACACATTGGGGTGGATACAAATGCTCATAACACAAAGCTGAGTGAGAACAGTCCTGAATGATGGAGTGATCAGCGGAGGCGAAACAAACTCAAAGTGCACGTCACACCGCCGTCAAACACGACTAAAAAAATACTGAGACGTAAGCGAATCCCGACGCAAGAGCGCGCGATGAGCACGAGACATGCCACTAAGATCGGAGGCGGATGAGACGCGCACGGCCCCGCAGAGCCAGCTCAGTCCTTCTTCTTGGGCTTCTTGGGGTTGCGGCTACGGGACTTGGCCTTGCAGAGAGGACAGATGGGTGCGTTGCGGTGGATCTGCTGGTGACAGGAGAGGCAGGACTTCATGGGCGGCGGCTGCTGCCTGCCGGCGGCGACCACATGCTGCCGTTAGTCACACCGCGCTGGCTGCTTCGGGCGCCATGCAGCTCGAGGCGAGGTGACACTAGTCAAACAGCTTCAGTACTGTTTGAGACCCGAAGGCGCCCATCGTTACCGAGACTGCGTGCATACATCTGCGGCTGCTGGAGCATCGATAACCTCACGTTGAGAGTCATGGCCATGGGCGCCCAGCACACAGACACAGCACCTGACAGCACACGGCATACAGCACCTGACAGCACACAGCATACAGCACCTGCCAGCACACAGCATACAGCACCTGACAGCACACAGCATACAGCACCTGACAGCACACAGCATACAGCACACCGACGTAACAGCACACAGCACACAGTAACACACAGCACATGACACACAAGTCTCCTCAAATGTACCGGACGCTTGTCGCAGCCCACAAAACAGCAACCTATGGCGACCCACGTCATCCAAGGACAAGCAACACTCCGTACACCTCATCACCAGCGCCCGCAGCACCATCTATGATTGGCGTCCACGCTGCTGCTTACAGCCGGCTCCGCTAAGCCACCCGCCACGCAGAGGGGCGACCGCGTACCTGAACGGCGTCGGCGACGGCCCGGCCGGCACCAGCGGGGGGCGGGGCTCCGGCTTACTGACGCGCATCACCGGCAGCGGCTGGCCGGCCGCCAGAAAGTGGGCGGAGCCTGCCGGGTTGGCGGCCAATGCGTGGAGGCCCGACTCGGGGCGCTCGGCCGCGCCGCGCTGACCAGCCTCCTGCGAGCTCTTCTCCAGCAGTCTGGCGACGCAGACGCCGGTCAGAGCGCCGGTTCGCGGCAGCCACGGATCCGAGGATGTCTGGCTCGGCCCTCGACAGCAGCGTACTTCGCCGCGGCCATCGTACAACAGCCCTACTTCTGTGCTACCGCGACTGCATTCAGCTGAAAGCCAATACGTCGCGACCCTAGTCGTACTTATTGGACCTGTTGAAAGCCGAAGACTAGAGAATGTCTGCACTACTGGAGAAAGCAGCGCACGCGGCACTTTTCATTAATTGACGAATGACTCTCCGTCACTGAATCAATGATGGAGAGTCTGAGTGCCACCTAAGCCATGACGGAGAGTCTGGGCGCTACTCAATCAATGACGGAGAGTCTGAGCGCCACCTAATCCATGACAAAGAGGTGTGAGCGTTATTGAATCCATGGCGGACAGGCCTAAATACTCCTCACTCATTAAAGGGCAGGCTTGAATGCCCCTCCCTTGCTGACGAGCAGTACTACTCCCTCGTTGATGGGCTGGTTCCGGGGCCCTCACTCGTCGCCCGGATGGCCTCAACACACCCGGCCACCGACGGGCAGCTGCGCGCGCCACTCACTCGTTGACGGGCAGGTCCGGCTCGAGGTCGGCGATGTCAGTGAGCGGGGCCAGGCCGAGCTGCTGGCGCAGTCGGTCAAGCTGGCCCTTCAGCGGCCGGTACTCGGCGTGCAGGCGGCGCGCCGACTCCAGGCTGCGGCCGCGCGCCTCCTCCGACTGCTTCACCACCTCCTCGATCTGAGGCATGACACTCCCGTCACGCCTTCTCAGACCGCATCACCACCTCCTCGATCTGACGCACGACACTCCAGTCACGCCTCCTCAGAACGTTCACCACCTCCTCAATCAGACGCACGACACCCCAGTCACGCCTCCCCAGACCGCCTCACCACCTCCTCGATCTGAGGCATGCCCCTCCAGTCACGCCTCCTCAGACCGTTCACCACCTCTCTGATCAGACGCACGACACCCCAGTCACGCATCACGCTGGATACGCGGTGACAGGCTTAGGCTGCGCATTGTTACATCGCCCCCGCTATTGATTATGTTGCGATGCTTTAGCACTATCTGCATGCATTCATGCGCGGCTCCCCTTGCCCAATCCGAAGTGCCATGACGTCCAACATGCCGAGCAGTCTGGGCTTTAACACAGTAATACCAAGGTCATCAGCCAAATGTGGTGCGAGGAGCCAATAACGGTTTAAAGCTGCTGCCTCGACAAAGAGGTGATTATCGAAGAAAACCTCCTGCATGGCGAGACGAGAACAACTTAGAGAATTCAACGACCGTCATATAGTACGTAATTTCACACCTATCCTGTTATATACGACTTTGTCATATCACATACGGCCCTGTCGTGAGGTTTGACATCACCAAAGGTGGCCATGTTTGCACGAGGAATCCGAATCAAACACGGAACGCTACGCTGTGGTGATGCATGGCAGCATCCGAGTCCCTCAGTACTGTTTGGCTCCTTCAGCAACATTTGGTTGGCTGGCAAGGGAACAACTATGTCATGCGCTTTCCTTCCAGTCAATCGCACATCACGCCCTTTATTATCCTGACCGCCGGGGTCACCGTCCAAGCAAAAGACATCGCAGTGGATGCCCATTCGAGGGTGCAGTATCTCCAGGACAACTGATCTGCGCGACATAACGAATATGATGGGCTCCTGGGGCAGTGCCGAGAAGGACCATCCCACGTCTTGTCTGTCGTCGTTCCAGTCCCCGTTCCATCCTCGGTCCCGGCTCCGCCTCCGGCTCCAGCCTCCGGGCTCCAACCCCGGTCCCTCCTTACGGCGTTGATGTCGGCGTGAATCTGACGCAGCTCCTCGACGTGCGCCATCTTCTCCTGCAGCAGCAGGTCCATCTCGCGCCGGTATTCGAGCAGCGAGCGGCTCTCGGCATCCGACACCTCCAGCTCGGTCATCAGCCGCTGCTTCAGCCGTTCCAGCTGGCTGGTGCCGCGCCTGCCGGCCCCCAATGGCGCGCGTCGTGCGTCAGTCTGCACCTCTGCATATCTACTGCACCTCGACTGCAGTACACCTCGCGCACGAGATGAGCTTCCGCCCATGGTTTAGGATCCGACTGACGAAGCACCACGAGTAAGAAACAGATCGTAGCAATCAGGATGGTTAATAGCACTCTCAATCGAGCCTTACCGGCTGAGCAATGGGTGCGTGCAAACCGGAGGGGGGGGGGGGGGGGCAGACAATGAAGCAAAGTGCAGATGAAAGAAACCCACAAATATTCTTCTTGAGGGAGTTTTGCAGAAGAATGGGGCTCAACGACGCACAAGCAGTGCCACTAGCCATTGCCTGAAGACATGCTCATTGGCTAGAACGTGGCACAACTTGAAATCTTCAGTGGGCATGTCATAAATGGGCCATGCTGTTCTTTGTATATTCAGAGCAGGAAACCAGTCTCAAATGAAAAGGAATCATGATTTTCAACCCATAATGTTCTTAAAGACACTCATGACACTACCCTAGAAGATGTCATGTCCATGTCATTACCTGATGGAGACCCAAATACCTAATGGATTGCAAATAATCTAACCCACCTGATTTCATTGATGGTCTGAAGCTTGCCAAAGGCAACATGGTCATCAAGTTCAGTATCCATGCTGTCCTTGCAAGACAATCAGCTGGTGCTTCTATGAGGAAAAACAAAACACATCTGTTGGAAACTGACATACATACTGGCATTTAGACAACTGACATTTCCTGCCTGATGACATGTCAATGATTCAAACACAGAAATGACTTTCATTGTAAGACTTCATAACAATGCTCACATATGTGTGCACTAGTCTCATAGTAAAACAAAATATCCTTGTGCACACAGCACATATACTGCATCAGTCACAAAAAGCACACAATGGCAAAATACAGCCATCACTGGCTTTCAACTAAAGGGACATGCATACATAAAATCTACTTTTTTTAGCTAAACTGATAGAAAGCAACTGATGAATCTCTCTCTCTCTCTCTCTCTCTCTCTCTCTCCCTCTCCCTCTCCCTCTCCCTCTCCCTCTCCCTCTCCCTCTCCCTCTCCCTCTCCCTCTCCCTCTCCCTCTCCCTCCCTCTCTCTCTCTCTCTCTCTCTCTCTCTCTCTCTCTCTCTCTCTCTCTCTCTCTCTCTCTCTCTCTCTCTCTCTCTCTCTGTCTATTATATATATATATATATATATATATATATATATATATATATATATATAATAACACACATACAATAAACAAGATGACCCTGGAGGCTGTACAAGCAACTTTCTTTTCTTTGACTTCTGTTGGGACTAAAAAGTTATTTTCCATCATGTTCTTCAATTGAGTCATGACTTGCTCATTCTCAAAAAATGGACATTTTATAGGCCTATTTCCTCAATGCACCAGGATGAGTAACTCACCAGAAGAACACAAATTGCATAGCAAATTTATTTTACAGCACAACTGCAAAACCTTCCAGTTGCATCATGAAAAACAGCATTGGCAAGCATGCTCTGGTCTTTTTCTCAGTACTAATCATCCCCAGCCTAGGACAAATGACACACATCAACTACCAATAGGACTTGGTACTGGACTGATAAAAGGTGATGCTTATATCCCTTGGGAGCTACCATGTCTTCAGGCTTATTGTTTCAAAACTTATGGAGATGTTCAAGCCAGATATCTTGAACACCTCTATAGGCAGAAAGCAAGGCAGTAGAGCATGTTGCTTGGCCAGATCATTCTGCTCTGAATTACAGCATAAATGCACTTCAATTAAAGCAATGTTGCTGCTATTTTGGACATGCTAAGCATGGCATGCATTTGTTTGCAGTCTTGCTCTAAGGCACTTTAATCTGACTTCAAGGAAATATCTTTAAAAAATTAATGTAAATACAAAAATACCCCAAACATAATTTCTTGAACCAGCCCTGCCCATCAAAATCTTCCTGATACCTGCCATACTTTGCAGACTGGGGTGACAGCACATAAATTATGATGCACTGGATGATGCATGGCAAGATGTCCAAACCATTGGTGCATGTAACTAAGAGATAACAAGAAGGCATCCCAACAAGAACTGCATGAGGCAAGCCTGGTCTCTGACTTGTGGGAGCTCCCTTAACTAATGAGTTGGTGAATGAATGGAGCATACCCAGAGGAACAGCAGGATGTCATCTGTCACCATAACTGGTTCAAAGTATGACATAACATTTGCTGAGATCCCAGTCCCTTAAAAAAGCTCCTACAGTCCATAACTACTTGCTTCCAGCCCATAAACATACCTCCCACAGACAATAGAACAGCACCAAAACTTCATATCCAAAATTGCTCACCTCATATGGCAAGTCAGGTCATAACTCCTCTAGGAAACAACTACCTAATCGCAACTCTGGTTATCATTTACATCAGCTCAGTAATATTTGTTTTCGGTGCCTAGCCCATGACCGCAACCCACAACTACCGATGCAAAATTTCAGGTGTGTATAAACATGTTTGGTCAAGAGCGCAGATACCGCAGGGAAATATCTCGTTCTTGTTGTCAACTTGGTTTACCATGATTCAACGCGTATATCAACGGTTTCCGACTCGCGACATGCATCCTTGGTGGAATCAATTAAATCGTGTCACAAGGATTCTTTCCCCAGCTCAGGGTTCAAGTGGAGTACACCAAACGTGAGACCACAGACATTACACCTACCTATGGCATACAGTAGCGCCAGCCCAACCCATAGACCACACAGCTATTCAACGGAACTCAACAGAAACGGCGGCCTGCCCACTAAGAAACGCCAGAGCGCAAGAAATGGCAACCGCGCATCAATCGCCAAAGAGCAGACCTGAGCATAGAGGATGTTTTCCCAAAAAAGTAAATGAGAGCTTTTCTCAAATGGGAACAATATGAATCGATGCTGATTTTGATAAATATTTTATAGATCCATCTTAAATGAGAAAACAGAAATGCAGCAGAGGCATCCTTCTACTGATATACAACTGTTGCAAAACTAAATGTGTTTGCAAACGATACAATGAGTGAGTGAACTGAACATTTTGAACAGAACTTAGGTAAATCCGATGCTAAATAATTGTCCTCAGAACCATTTAGCCGAGTTGGACCAGATAGAGGTAATGTTTGCTGAATCTTGACGCCGTTTTCAGACCCGTTGTTCCTAAATTTAGCTGGGAGTAAATTTAGCGGCAATGAATATGTCTTTCGTGCATTGTATTTATCTGGAGGTGGAAGAAAAACATTGACACTGTGAAAAATGCTGTATTTAATTCGTGCCGTATCTTTGGATGTGCGATCTTTGTACATCTTTCGCTTTAAAGTCTAAAATCAATATTGTTTTCCAGCGTCTAGCTAGAGGCTACCGCGCTATCAGTTGTCAAAATAATGGCGGACTGTGGTGCGGGAGTGGTTACGTCGGGTCGTTGAGAGGAGTTGAATTGTCAGGTATGTGTGTTTCTGATGCACAAAAAATCAGTCATTAGCCTTTCCGTGGTGTGCTTGCGTTTCTTGGCAAACTCATTGGGTGGGTGAGATTATAGCCTTCGACGTTCGCCTGAAGGACCTGCTAGCGTCGGTTTCGGATCATGGTCATCGCGTCTAACCAGATCACTCTGCTCACTGATTTAGGCGCAGAATAACGAAGAATTACTTCTGCTATCCCCCCGTGAAGTTTATTCTACCGCTAGCGTCTAGTGCACTTGTGTCGCATCGTTGTGCATAACGTATAGCGTGTTGCGCATGTGTTGCATTGCTTAGAGTATGATGCATAGTATGGAGAACTTGCATACTGGCCAAGAGCCGTGCTTTGATTTGGGATGATGTAACTAATTGTGGAAAAATTGTTAAGCATTGATCATAAGTGCCATAGCTCATTTATGGTGAACATGTAAAGATCAGGCATGTCAACAGCAATGTCTTTTCTTCAGCACTTGTGATTTCACTTTGTTGTATTGCATTACAGCGGTCAGCTGCCACAGACCCCTGGCTTGGCGGGGGTCTAATTGATTTTTTGGTTGGGGTAGTTCTAATCTTCTTAGCTTTGAAAAGAATAGGGCTCAAATTCAGAGACAACTTTTGGTTGCATTTTGGAAGCAAGTTTAGCCTCAATGCTCACCTCACTCTTAAGCTTCATGTGAGAAAGGGGATAAGTATTGAACAAGCTCATGGTAGCTATACATTCAGCAAAATGTATGTGTAGTGAAAAATGAAGATTATGATATATTGACTTGCTGACAACCTGATGGCAAAAGAACTCATTTCACACCAAACATGTCTAAGGTAGCAGTGACACTGAAGTAACAGTTTCAGTGCTCATAAAAGACCAATCCTCAAGGAAATAATGATGCAAAGGTCATTTTAGGGAATGGTTCTTCAAAATCATTTTTGGCACAGGTTAGTTAAAACTTCAGCAAATCTAGTCCGACTTCAGTTTGGTCCACATAAGTGTCAGGTTCAGAGCACATATTTCATACAGACATCCACCAATGTGGATAGATCTTGGCAGACTTGGTCATCAGCACAAAGCAGCCATTCACATCATGCAAGTCTTCCAACTAAGGAGGGAAGGACTTCAAATAGTTTTGATGCAGCTTATGATCTTCCTTTGCATGTTATGCAGCATTTTGAAGCAGAACAGATCAAACCAATAAATGTGAGTGCCACCACACCTATTTCAGCTCCTTGTAATAGCAGTGAATCACTTATTTATGCATAGTTGTTTTTCACTATCAGGGTACAGGGCCAGATGCATTAAAGCAAATATTTCACATATAGTGATTATGTTGGTGTGGTCTGTTTGTCACCATTGGTTCCTTGAAAAAGGCTTGTTTTACTACAAGCTGTTTGTGTCAAATTCTGGTTATAAATATAGTGTTCCCAGGATCAGCTAATGTGTTAACCAGTTAAAAACCAGAAACCGACAGAACTAGGTTGGGCTAGTGTAAATGCTATCCATGAATACTGTTTTCCTGGGAAATTTAGTTTTGTATACACAGTGCTAAAATTTTTGGCAGCAGTGGTAGTCATTTCTACACATGTCAGAATTTGATGTTCCTGGCCCCAGTTCCTAACCTATGACCTTAATGATGATTACTGTTGACATTTTGTGAAAGTAACAACACTTATGGCATGGGCAATGCAATTTAAAGAGGTGACTTATTTCTTGTCTGCTTTACTCAAAGCATAGTACTGCCATATATATGAGGCTTTTGCAAGGTCAGGTCACCTATCATCAAACTAGTAGATTAATGTTGCATGTGTGGGACCATATTTTATCTTTTTAGGTCATATGATTGAAACCTCAGGATATATTTTAGATTTGGTCTTAACACCTCTCCAGAGGAGTGTGCACTTGGTCTTAAAAGATGTGATAGGGTCAATTTGATTGCAATGACTGCATGACCACCGCAAAATCATTGCAGATCTGGCAGGTGGTTGATTGCAAAATAATGCATAAGGATGTGGTGTTGAGGATTACAAACTACTTGTATAATGTAGTCAGTAATAAAATGATTCATAAGGATGTGGTGTTGAGGATCACAAACTGTTGGTTTGCTTTAGTTGATAAGGATGTTTGCTGGTGCATGCTCTGTTCTCTACATAATGGATCCATAAGAGCATACCCACTGCTTGCAATACCAGTTGTCAATGTACTGTGGATAGCAGTGACTGCCTGGTCACCCCGTCTATCCCTTTTTCAAGGAGCTGTTCCTATCCACCCTGGATTGCCCTTTTGACAGGCATGGTATAACCAGATGAGCCAGTGCAAAAGTTGTCTTTGCCTACCTGACCTATCATGACATGCCAGAGGAAACATGTGTTGATGTTCAGTAATGCCTATTTGATGAATGTTTACACAAGCTGTTAAGTCTTGGCTTCCATATTGTTACAGCATATGGGTCCTACATGGGAGATAACAGGAGTCATCTGGAAAGTGCTATTATGACCCATATGGCCTGGCTTGGTATGCCAAAGATCAGTTTATTGATCTTTATTCACACCAATTGTGTCAGTTGGATGAGACCTTTCCAGTGCTGTTTTCCCTGTGACCTCAGCTTTCTCAGTTTCCAATATTTTAGGTGGCTCTGAAACCACTACCCTTGTAAGATGAATTTGAAAAAAATAAATCCCATAGTGTACTCCTCATGTATTACAAACACTGAATGACAAACATTGAAAGGTCATGTGAGCAAAATATGTCTTAAGAATGATCAATTACCCAACATACACAAAAATTAAGGAACGTGCAATGCTGCATGCACATGCAATAGCAGAGCAATCACAAAATATGGCATACATGTGTAACTAGAGACATGTGGTGCTGTGATTCCATGCTTCAGCAAAGATAATAGCATAAGCACAAGATAATAGCATAAGTAAATAATAGCATAAGTAAGTTGATCATGCAGCACAGCAGTTGTGTCAACCATAACAGAAAGGCAAGAATTAAAATGATTGTAAGCTGTTACCAGGTCCTCCCATTCTGTTTCTTCTGGACATATGCACAAGGTCCACTGAGCTGTTTATGATCATCACATGCTTCATTATTCTGTATTTCATTGTTGCCAGATTAGCAGTTAAATGCAAACTAGCAGGAATATAAGAAAATAGATACCAGAAAGATTAACACATCTGCATTAACAGTGCACATCTGGGAAACCAGAGGTATGGGGTTCGATTCCCTGCGGTGCCCGCCCATCCTGCAAGTGATGCCATATAGCCTCAGCAGCTGAGTGTGTTGTAAAGCCCCAATGACATGACAGATACTAGAAAGATTATTTAATCAAACACAACAATTGCCATGGGCACGTGCTGCCATGTAAACAAAGGAAACAAAAGGGGCCCTTAGTTGGCTGTGCCCTGATTTTCTGGGACTAATTTATACTATCATCAGTATCAGGTCATCCTTATTTTCCACTATGCACTTGTGTTCCCCATGCACATTATGCTTTATATGTGGTTAACTCAGCAAGTGTTGATCTGTTTGTTGCATCCAGTGCCCAGCTCCTGTTGTTGACTGTGTGCTGATGCACATGGGATGCTGTTTGCAGGTGACCCATGTCATGATACCTGGCTCACTCTCCGTGCCAAGACAATCTCCCAGCTTCCAAAGGGAGATGTAAGCATACATTGGTGTGAAGCAATGTGGGTTGGCTGTTCAGATTATTTAATGTTGCCAGTTTGCAATGAACACTGGATCTTGATTTATCAGTTTCTTATTTTTTAAATCACTCTTACATCCATGTACTCAGGTGACATAGAAAGGACAACATATTTCCAGCTGTCTTATTTTGGCAAGATCATGTTAGTTTCCCTCTTTGTTATAAGCCGGGTATGTGACATTGCAAGCAGCGTAAGTGGTGCCGGGACCATGGTTAATGGTTATCATGGTGCTACAAGCATTGCATTGATAATGTTTTGTTGCATTGTTGATTTGGTTTTGGCACTGTTACTGCTTTCCATCATTTAAATGTCTACTAATCTTTGTCTTGCTTTTCCAGCACCTGCTTCATCGCCGATTGTCACCAAAGACCGACATAATATCTCAATGTTCCATTGCAATAATTCAGGGCAGTTAGTCAGTGTAAGTATGGTGTTTCTATCTTTCAATCTGCGTGACTGGTTTTCCACATTTGATGTGTGCTTTTGCTGCTCTGGGATATGTTCTGCAAGGCAATGAGCTAGACTGTCATCACTTGATACATTGTCAATGACACAGTGTTTTGGGATATGCAGGTGTGTACTGTCATGCAATGGAAAAAGTCACTCCAATGTCAGGGTCTATTTGCGACCCCAGAGCGCCTTCACTCGGGCGACTTATGGTGGTGCCGCTCTGCGGGCCCAGCGGCGAGACCGGCGCCGGCGGCCGTGACCACCGTCCGTCCTCCGCCCGCAGATCGTCGAGTGTCGGCCGAGTTTGATCCATTCCAGGGCTATGGACGGTCCGTCGAGGACCGTCGACAAACAAGTGCCTGATATTAGGGTGAGTGTGGCGCCGCCGATCGCATGGCCGATCAGCTGCCGCCTCGTGCACCGGCTTCTGCGGTGTAGCTGTGGGCGGGGCGAGTCCACGGCATGGTGGACGGCTCGCGTGGCGGTCTCTGTGACGGTGACGGTGACGGGGTGGTGGTCGGCTCGCCTGGCGGTCTCTGTGACGGTGACGGTGACAGGGTGGTGGTCGGCTCGCATGGCGGTTTCTCTGGCGGTGGCGGGGTGGTGGTCGGCTCGCCTGGCGGTCTCTGTGACGGTGGCGGGGTGGTGGACGGCTCGCCTGGCGGTTTTTTGTGACGGTGACGGGGTGGCGGGCGG